CTATGCATCTTTGATGTGGTGGTTACAAAAAAAGTCCTAAATGTTAGGCTGGTTTTGAATCACCCAAGTAGCTGTGTGATTTGGTCCCTATGTGATGAGGATAATTGTACCCACCTGACAAAGGATAGTTTTGAGGATTAAGCGAGGAGGTGATACTCTCTTTCAGACACTGGCACAGATCACTCTGTAGCTGATTATTCTGTCTCCCTGAGACAAAGAGAAGGAACTAAGTTTTGGTTTTGATGCCCTGGCTGTCCGACACCCTCTTCCTCAGTCATTAGGAAGAGTGAGCTTTCTTGAGAAAGCGCCTCTAGGAACTTCAAGAAACACAATATTGAGAAGTCAGAGCTGGAGCAAATGGGTGGTGCTGCACCTCTGACGCTGGCATAGGTGTGTGGTGTCCCTGGGCACCGGGGAGGAAGCCTCAGGTGCTTGGAAACAAGGAGACTTAAAGCCAGGACCTGTTGGGGCCTAGCCTCATCTTTCTAGCATGTTCTAGAGACATTACCCTTTTATTCTTCATTCCTTTTTATTTTCCTTCAACTTTCAAATCCATCATCTTCCAAAGATATTTGGGAAGGTCTCATTTATTTACGTATATATCTTTAAGGTAAAGTATGGTTGTAAAATTCAAGTGTTTTCCTCTCCTCATAGATTTGTGAAAGAAAAAAGACCTACTATATCTCCAAACTTCAATTTTCTGGGCCAGCTCCTGGACTACGAGAAGAAGATTAAGAACCAGACTGGAGCCTCAGGGTCAAAGAGCAGACTCAAGCTGCTGCACCTGGAGAAGCCAAACGAACCTGCCCCTGTGGTCTCAGAGAGTGGACAAAAAAGCGAGGCGCCCCTCAGTCCACCCTGTGCCAACTCTGCTACCTCAGCGGCAGCAGGGCAAAGGCCCGTGCCTCCCGCCAGCGCGCCCAGCGCCCAGCCGCCCCTACTGGAGGACGGCTCCCTGGCCCAGGCGCTGAACGGGCTCCACCTGCCCGCGGATAAGCTGGAAGACAGCAGTAAGCTCAAGCGCTCCTTCTCGCTGGACATCAAATCCGTCTCGTACTCGGCCAGTGTGGCGGCGTCCTTGCGTGGTTTCTCCTCTTCAGAAGAGGCTCTGGAATACTACAAACCTTCCACTACTCTGGACGGGACCAACAAGCTATGCCAGTTCTCTCCCGTCGAGGAAGTGTCGGAGCAGACTCCGGAGAGCAGCCCTGATAAGGAGGAGGCCAACATCCCCAAGAAGCCTCCGAGCAGCAGGCCCACAGACAGCCAGAGCAAGCGGCTGCATGCGGTAAGAACCAGCACCAGCGGAGCCGCCTCCCAAAGGTCCCTCTTGTCTCCCCTGCATCGCAGCGGGAGCGTGGAGGACAATTACCACACCAACTTCCTCTTCGGCCTTTCCACCAGCCAGCAGCACCTCGCGAAGTCTGCCGCTGGGCTGGGCCTCAAGGGCTGGCACTCGGATATCTTGGCTCCCCAGACCTCCACCCCTTCCCTGACCAACAGCTGGTATTTTGCCACGGAGTCCTCTCACTTCTACTCTGCCTCGGCCATATATGGCGGCAGTGCCAGCTACTCAGCCTGCAGCTGTAGCCAGCTGCCCACCGGCAGCGACCCCGTCTACTCCGTGCGCCGGCGGCAGAAGCCGGGCGACCGAGCGGACTCGCGGCGGAGCTGGCACGAGGAGAGCCCTTTCGAAAAGCAGTTTAAACGCCGGAGCTGCCAGATGGAGTTTGGAGAGAGCATCATGTCAGAGAGCAGGGCCCGGGAAGACCTGGGAAAAGTGGGCAGCCAGTCTAGCTTTTCAGGCAGCATGGAAATCATCGAGGTCTCCTGAGAAGGCGCTCGTGACTTCCATGGATTCTTTTTGTTCCTTGTTCGCGAAAAATATTCCCTGTAAATCTGAAATATATATATGTACATACATATATATTTTTGGAAAATGGAGCTATGGTGTAAAAGCAGAAGATGGATCAACACGGTGGTTCTCTCTTAACATCTGCATTCGAGAAACCATCTAGTATTTCTCTCTACTAGAAGTGGAAGGGCAGATGCTAGAGTCGCCCTTGACAGATGGATTTTACGCAACGAATTGCACAGCCTCTTGTTCTTACTAAATCGAGTTCTATTTGGTGTCACAGGACAGAATCCCCTACTGTGTTCATGTCGTGCTCAAAGAGCGCTCAGATGCTAATCTCTGTCCAGTCCCTGCCCTGGTGCACCTTAGTGCTGAGTCTGAGCCAGCCTGTGGGTCGGGTGGGTAGACCCTCTTAGGGACAGAACCTAATGGCGAATCCAAGAGAAATGACCACATCCAAAGCTGAGTCACAGCTCCTTGCCTGACGGCCAGGTGACGCGAGCATCATTCTGCTGGACCGACCATTAGGGGCCTTGCCGAGATCTACTTAGAGCAAACCCAGTACCTCAGACAGAAGTCGGGGCTCTCACCACTACCATGTCTGGTAGCCCGTTTCTAGGCATTGTGAATAGGTAGGTAGCTAGCCACACTTTTCAGACCAATTCAGACTGTCTATGCACAAATTTCCACTTGGGCCTGGATGGAGGTAGTTAATTTTTTTCTTCTTTTTCTCAACTTTACGAAGAAAGAGAAGGGAAGCCATCTAGGATTCAGTTTAACAGCCAGGAATCTGGTCATAATGATGTATGTATGCTAAGGTCGGGACGCTAAACAGTCTATCTCCCTCTTTATAAATCAAAGAATTGTTCAAAATGGGATTATTAATCCTTTAAATAAAGATTAACTTGGTTTAAAGCCAGATGTGAATTTATTTGGGTTGGTAGCAAAGCAGCCTCACCTTCAAGGTAGCGAAGTAGACATTTTCCATTTCTGTTTCATTGCACAGATGCATTGTGGAAAAACCCAACAGCAAGGTAGAATTTTATAGGAAACCACCAAGAGGGAGAGAAAACTAGGGCCAGGTAAGGTTGCTGAGGTGAAGCAGGATACGGTTACTTCTCAGAAGTATCCCCCCTTGGCACGGATAAGGGTGTCATTTTCTTGAATTTCCTTAGACTTAATTTACCAGTGGGGCTGAGAGAGACTTTGATAAAGCGAAGAATGTTCAGAATAAGCAGTGTCAGAAGGCTGCTGGGCTTCGGTTTCTGTGAGCAGGGTGCAAAGACACAGCTAGGCTTTCTCAGCGACCCACCTGGCCTTTTGTTGATCAGTAGGTGGGGTGTATCACAATGGAGCTGGACCGAGGTGGTCACTCAGCCCTACCTACAATCACTGTGTGGAATCCATCCTGGCAGCTGCAAGGCAGGGGGGGTTAGGACGAGCTGAAAAGGGATAGTACATGACTGCTTTTAAGTGCTAACTTGCGTCCTGGCCACTGCAGTGTGGTCCTCTGGGGCAGCCTCATCCAGGGCAGCAGCTCTTCCTGGGGTGGGTGGGTGCTGTCACTGTCCCTACGGTGAGTGCAGCTAGTGTGATGCCCCTCTCAGGTTTTCCTCCGAGCAAGAAACGGATGGTCCTTTGATAAGGATGTGATGGATTCGTTTCCTGAAGCCGGTGCAGAATGACATGCTTCAAAACCAACTCGATCGTGATGATGAGCTTCACAGAGAGAACTGGAGATGTGCTGTGATGTGGGTGTAAAACAAGGCAGGAAGGGAGTAAGCAGCAGAGGGAGTGCCTTCTTGCCATCCGTGGAAGGTTCTGTTCCATGATCTGAGTGAGTTTTTCTGTCTACATTTAAATCTCAGATCTAATCAGGCGTGCTCTCTGGGTAATGTCATATACACACACACACAGGTGCGTAACAGCTCGCCTCTCCCGGAGTCTAGCCCAGCTGTCTGACAGTTTTGATGTGAAAGCAGTGACTCTGATGTTAAGTTTGGGGTTGGGGGGACGTGGTCTGAATGAGGTCGTCGGGCAGAAATATGCCTTCCATCCGTCGGGATTCCTCTTGGCCACTGCCCCCTTCCTCTCACTGGCTGTGATGCGCTCGTTCACTGCGGCCTTCAGTCCTTGCCGCGTGTGTCAGATCCTCAGTTCTTGGGATCCAGACCACCCTGCGGAAGGGCGGCCCGAGAGGCAAGGCCCGGGCAGCCCAGACCTTCTGGCTTGGGCATGTAACGGGGGTAGGCGGAGCCCTGGAGTCTACTAGGGGGACATGGAAAGGTGGTTTTTAAGGAGCAAAGCTAGACTTGTGTATGAGAAATGCTGCAAATCAGTTTAGTACATTTGCAGGGTTAGGTGGAATATGTAAATGTTTAATATGAATATAATACAGAGTTTTTGCGGAGTAAGGCAGGCTGTGGCGTGGTTACATTGTGCATTTCTCATTTGATGTGTCCTGTATGTTAATATAATGAAATAAAATCAAAACTGGTACCTGTTTATACCTAACTGTGAGAAAGGAGCGCTCTTTGCAGCTACAACTTGGCGGGAGCAGCAGCATCCAAACTGTGAGAGGAGGCAGGAGTGGACCCTGCCTCTGATCGTCTCAGGTCCAAGGACTGAGCGGAACAACAAGCGGTGAGGCCGTCCGGTCTGTCCATGCTCTGCCGTTCACAGGAAACACGGGCGCGTCCCCTGGCAGTTCAGAGCTGGCCTGGACAACAGCGTGTCCAAACCCAGGGCCTTGGGAAAGATGTTCTAGCTGAATCCAGAACTAGCACGGGGTAGGAAGACAGATCACACGTCGTACTTTTTAATGTAAGACGTGAATGGTGTAGTCATTTTTGTAGAAAAAACTGGGAGGAATCCAATTGACCCTTGAACAACTCAGAGGTTGGGGCACCAGCCCTTCACCCCCACCCCACCCTGTGCAGTTGAAAATCTGTGTCAGTTGACTCCCCCCAAACCTCACTAATAGCTTGTTGTTAACCAGAAGACTGAATGATAATATAAGGAGTGAGCACATATTTCATATGTTATTCTTTTTTTTTTTTAATAGAGGCATGTTTTATTTATTCATTTGTTTGTTTTGTTTATACAAGCACTGAGTACAGTCAGAAGCGCGGGAGGGTGAGAGAATTCACCAGAGCCAGAGCGGGGAGCAGAGCAGGCAGAAGGACCTAAGTACACTGCTGAGGTGGGCAGCGGGCGGCAGGAGAGGTCTGTGCGCCATGTGGGACCCTCCTCCGGTGGCCGGGGAGCAGCCGGAGATGGAACCGGCGCTGCAGAGGCCGCGGGCAGCTTCGCAACCCAGCGCTCAACCGCTGCGCCACCAGGGAGGCCCTATATATGTTATTCTTAAGACTGAAAAAAAGTTAAGAAAATCATAGGCAAAATACGTTTAACTGCACTGTGTTTATTGGTACCATCCATGTCCATGGTGTGTTTTCAGGAAAACCTGCATGTAAGTAGACGCATGCTGTTCAAGCCCCTGTCAGTCAGGGTTGGCTTATTGAAGAGCTGTCCTTGCCACATAGGCCTCCGTGACCTCTGCATAACGTGACCCTGGCCATCACGATTTACAAGACGAGAAGCTGTTTCACCCGCTAGCTAATAAAGAATTAGTCATTAAAGGACTAAAACTTTTACCTTCGGTGCAGGCGTGTGGAATAATGTCGATAAAGAGAATCGCAGGGAATGGCATGTAAGTTGGCTGCGAAGCCTTCTGAGTTCCGATTTGAGGAAAGAGAAAAGCACGGAGGATTGGGTTAGCTGAGCGAAGACGAGCTGTCTTGGACCTGGCAGAAAATGGAGGAGAGAGTGGGAAAGAATAAAAGGAGTGGAGTACATCTGCCTGCAGCGGGAAGGTGCAGGAGGAAGGATGAGGAGGTGTAGATCTTGGACAGACCTAAGGCCAAGCCAGTGATTACTCAACTGCGGACCAATTTGGGGTTCATGGAGACAGCCTGCTCCGGGTGGGGAGTGGGGTGGAGGACTAGTTTGGGTCTGAGAACTTGAATCAGAGCACACAGACTAAAGGGAACAGGGAAGGTGTAGATGTCTGAGGAAAACCTGATAAAATGTAAATGAGCCCTGGATGAAACAGCCTTCCCGTCAAAGAAATGACGTGAAGTAAGTTTTTCCTCCTGCACCAGCTGATGAGAACTTGTAACCCTCCAAACCTTGTTTTTCTGACACGAAGCAGGAATGTTTTGAGTGTAGTAAACAAAATTTGTGCTTTTCTCTAAGTATTACTCCGCATCTATAAATGGGAGAGGGAAGTAAGTTATTTCTGGCCTTCTGTGGGGCCCATTCATCCTTGTACAGCATAATTATACTCGCTTGTATCTTTAAAGTGTTGCGAAATCAACTGGAAAATGACAGCACCGTTAACATGTCAGTCATATAGTCGTCGTTTATGTCCAGAGACATCAAATTGGGCTGATAAAATTTCATCCTTTTGGTTCTGGCTAAACACTAGCGTTCTCCCCAGTGCTGTCCCATCGGGAATGCAGAACGTGACCTTGCAGGGCAGAGGCCTTGGCTACGGGAGACTGTGCGTCAGCTGTGGTCTGGTTCCCTCTGCTCAGTTATGAGTTTTGAAAACTCAGTGAAAAGCACTTGGTTCACAAAACTTTGTAAATCAGACCTCGCTGTATAATAAAAGGTAGCAGTAGAAACACATCTTGATAGGCAAAAAAATAATTGGCACATCCGTAAATTCCCACGGGTCCTCTATGCACATACAACCCTCAGTGTCCCTTAGAATAAGGGTTGCAGGCAACCAGGTGCCACAGGTCACACACTAGAAGCACCTGAATTTCATTGTTCAAGGGGGGTTGCTTTTTTTTTTTTTGTTTTTGGTGTGAAGCATGTAGATAATCCAGTTACAATTCCCCTCTGTAGCCCTGACATTTGAATGGAAGATGCGTGTCTGGCGTGTGTGAGAAATTCAGGGTTATTAACTATAAATAGCAAACAAGGCCACCTCCTCTGGGACACTATATCGCTTTTTTTTTTAAAGATTTATTTATGCATACAAGAACTGGGGTACAGGCCACAGGTGTGGGGGGTGAGAGGATTCATCAGAGACAGTGGGGGGCAGAACAGGCAGATTGACCCCAAGTACACTGCTGAGGGGTGCAGCGGGTGAGACAGGAGAGGTCTGCTGCGCCATGCGAGTTGCTCCCTGGCTGGCCAGGGATCAAACTCGTGCTGCAGAGGCTGCGGATTGCTTCATAGGTTGCGTCTTAACCCCTTGCGCCACCAGGGAGGCCCCCTGTATCGCTTTTAATTGGGAAATGAAATGTCAGGGTAAGGGACAGAGAAGCAAAATGACTTGTCAAAATTACAAGACGCTTGACATATAAAGTTACACACTTACACATACACACGTTCACTCTGCCCTTTAATCTTTAGTATCAACATTTCCAGTAATTTCCTACTGAGTATTATATATCCGGGTTTAGCTGAGGTATAAACAAATCAGGCACACAAAACTTTGAATTACTGTGGCGTTTTTATACGTGTGTGCTAAGTTCTGAAGAGGCCGAGTTTTGCTAGGGGAGGTGTCAAAGCTAAGTTATCACTATAAATCAACATAAAGAACTTGGCACACGTCAGCCCCCAGTGCCCTAAATTTATGTAACCTGGAAAACAGCATGTCTGTAGTACCTAAAAGGTACGGGAAACATTTCCAGCCTCTGGTATGTTGGAGGAAAAAGCAAATACCCAGAGGCTACTTTAACCATAAAAATAACTCGTTTCTTGAGCACATTCCTATACTTCAGAGTATAGAGCCCTGAAAACTCATTTCATCAAATATTTACTCTGCAGAGAACACCGGTGAGGAATCTATGTTCAAAATATACTGCATATTCTGAGAAATTTCTCTCAGGTGGGAGAACAGGTACATATAAATTTACGTATATAAGCTCCTAAACATGAAACTGAGGGAAACAGACATGGTATGTGTAAAGCAACAGACATGAATTCCACACAATCACCTCTTTACCCCACAATTCATTTACTGGAATTTTATAGGCATCTAATAGGGGGGAAGGCCAGCTTCTCCCAAACTGCCACTTCAACTAGTAAAGCAAGTGGCCTCTTTGATAGTGTTCAGGATAGAGATGACTAGACACAGGTTTTTAAAAGAAGGGACCACTAGACAGAAAAATTGTTGAATTTAAAGTCACCATAGAGACCCAGGGCCAGTGCTCGGGCAGCTGGTGAAGATGTCAGCTTCGCTGAAGGGTCCAGTGAGCTCGAAGGGGCCTGAGGTCCATCCAGACCAGCTCACACCAGAGGGGAGTAGAGACAGGCACTGGGAAATCAAATGAACTTGACAAAGACCAAGTCAGGAAACTCCCAGCCAGGCTCTTTGACACTTGGGCTGCTTTCTCATCCCTGAAACATCCTCTGGTGGCCTGTGAGGTGACTGGGCACTAACCAGCAGAAATTCGTCATCACTGTCTCTTAGAACAGCAGATCAGATTCTCAGAATCCACTGGAAAAAAGTAGGAGTGAAATGAGTAGTCACGCCACATACAGAGTCAGGGTGGTTCTTGCCAGGGATGATGTGGAATAATTAAGCCATTAATTAAAGGAGCTGGTCAGAGAGTCCCTGTCCAATGCTCTTTCACCTGAAATCACTGGGTGTTTGGGAAAGAGGGTAAACAGGACATTGAAACCTGCAAGCAGCAGGTGGGAGTGTGCATTGCTGCTCATCAGGAGCCACAGCTGAAGGATAAGCAGGTCCCATTCCTGGCCTAACCTGCAAGAGTTGAAGGCAGAGCTCCGGGAGCTGGAGGGGCTGTTGGACAGCCACTGGCCTCACCCAGGGTGCAGCAGGCCTAGGACAATGTGCAGGAGATGCAACAGCTCCTCCCCTGTGGCAACTTGCAGCTGCCACCCGAGTTCCACTAACAAATCTCATGCCAGTGTCTCGTGGCCAACCCTGAACAGAAACCAACAGGGAAGGGAATTCTGGCTCAGCTTAGCCAAGGTTGTAAAACCCTCACACACCATAAATATCAAATGAATTACAATTCTTTCGAGTAATGTCCGATTTACCTATTGTTCTTCTGTTTCTACCCAGTAATAACTAGTACATCTATTTGGGACCAAAATCTAAGTTAATACCATGTTTTATGTAATTTCTCCGTAAGAAGGGGGAGTTGGAGGAAGAACTGGCCAGCGAGTGTTTCATGCCAGGCTAGATCTGTCTTTTTGCCACATTCAGTCTATTAACTGCTGAAAAGCATTGAGAAATCTCCATCCTCGCAGGCTTAGTCTGCATCCCATTTTATTTGTTTGTGCTTTTATTTGTAAATTATATTTAATGCAGTGAGGATAATGGCACCTGAGCAATTTTTATAGCTCTATAGACAAGCAGCCAACCCTTCATTCTTCGAAAGTTATGAACATATCCCTGTGTTCAGCGCTGGTGCCATGAATTCCAGGAACTCGAAAAAAGAACAAAGGTGATGCTTAAAAATGCCACTTCCTGTGAATTTAGGCAAAGGAAAGATGGATAATCTTTCTGCCCACTGAAATTAAAAAAATAGTGAAGTTAGAAAAAATACTCCTAAGTCTAGCTGGAATCTAGTCTAGCCATAGCAGATATTAAAAGGCATGATGAAATGGTGATAAGAAAACCGAAGGACAAAACATGGCATGAAACAGGATGGAGGGAGAGATCGTGGAGTAGATACAGGCCAGAGTCAGAACCTTGATTATGTGGAAATTTTATACGCAACTCCAGGGGCACTGCAGCTCAGTGAGGGGAAGATGCATTATTTAGTAAGTGTTGCTGCCTCCCCTTCCCCCATGACGTTTCCTAGAACGGCCTTTAGCTATTAATAGATTTCTAAGGTATAGAACATCTTTCCTGATTTGTACTGTAGAAATGGGTGAAGGCGCCAACTAAAATCGACCATCAAAGGGTGTGATACAGAATGTCAGGTCAGTGTGGTCCAGCAAATTCTGAAGGTGGAGCTCGCTATTCCCAGCTCCTGGCTTCCAGTGCCACCATGGCTCCCTCAGACCACATTCTCCTCAGGCCTCTGCCACCCCTCCTAAGGCGCCAGTTCCCAGGGGACAGAAGTGGGATCTGGAGGGCCTCGGCTGCTTCCCTTGGCTTTCATTCCCGCCTTGTCTTTCGCGCTCAGAGGGAATGAACAATCTTGGTATTTTGTGGTCTCAGAAAATCCTAGAAGCTATTGAGTTTTACACTATGGACCAAAAAAATATTTTTCATTCGCTTGATGTACATTTCTTCTGTCATTCAACACCTACGACATAGTGTCTGATTAAGATCCAAGAGTAGAATTGGGTAACATTTACCCGAGATATGCTGGATGAAGTGGGAGCAATTTTAATCTCATAAATAATAAATACACCGAAGGCTATTTTTGACATCCCAAAACCACCTTCCGTGGGCACACCGTGCTCCCCGCACCTGCAGCGGCCCTGTTGAACATGGCAGCGATCGCCACAACCCCACCTTTGTGCCGACATCAGAGAGACTCTCCGGGAAGGCAGGTAGGCCGCGAGAGGCTATCTTCACATTTGCCTTTGGCCTACGTACAGCTTACCACCACCTCCCAGACAGGAGACTCACCCAGAAATGTGATTCTCACAGCGCTGCCCGAGGGGGCACCTGCATTTTCCCTGGGCTGGAGGCCAGCAGGGACTGCCATGGTGGCGGCGGGACTGCAGGTACCGGCACACTTCCTAAGGTACCAGAGGCACAAGAGGGTCTGGACCCCAGTTAGCCTGAAACTAGGTAGTAAGAGATTCCTCCCTTGGAACACTTCGCACCCCTTCAGCACCCCAAGTTCACCAGATGAGTCACACAGCTACTGGTTAAACCCTTATTGTTGTTCCAAAAACTGGAATCCCGTCAGTGATGTAATATAAAGAGACGTAACTATGTCTGCCCCAAGGAAACCAGTTGTCAGTGGGAGATAAACCCAATGGGGGTGTAGAAAGGAATCGTCAGATTCCCAAGACAACATATGGGGCACAGTAACCCGGCACACAACAAAAGTACCTGCATTTCACCGGGGCGGGAAGGGGGTGCCCCGGGCGAGGCCCGCATGTGATGCACATGGGAGGAAGAGTAACCGCACAGGCCTGACTTCATCAGTGCTTGTGTCACAGCCACACCCCGGAGAGCTTCTTACAATACCTCTCCCCTTCTCCCCATGTTTCACCTCACAAGTTAGACTAGACAATGTACACTTTCAATTAAAACAAAAAAAAACAACTTGAAACAAAATAAAAATAATCCCCAACAGGAGTGCTGTAGAGAATTCCTAATCACTCAACTCCGGCTGTCACAGAAGCAGTTCAGTTCGCGCTGCACAGGGAAGATGCATCCAGGAAGGGGTGAGGGGGGTGGGGGGGGGCGAGTCAGCTTTTCAGACCAGCCCCAGTGCTTCCCGCCCTCCTCCGGGAGAGCCAAGACCCCCGACCTGCCCCGGGCCTGGTCACACCACCTGGTTCTCAAGTCCTCAGGGTCCCGGCGGCGCGGGGCTCTGTCCCCGGGAGCAGCGGCCAGCAGAGGGGCCATGTGGCTCTAGAGCTTGAGCTCTCGGTCTGGCTTCATGCTGAAGGGCTCCAGCCTCTCGCCCTCGGGCAGCAGACTGTTGAGCCGCTCCATCAGAGGCACGGTCTGGTCGATGCCCATCTGGATGCGCCGGAGGATGGCCGACATTTCGTTGACTTTCTGGATCTGCTCGGCGTATTTGGCGTATCTTTTCTGCCTCTCCTGCATGAAGCTAAAGAGGGTTTCGACGGACAGATCCATCTGTAGGGGGAGAAAGTGAAATACATTAAGCCTCGCTGACCCAAGTCAGCATCAGGGGACGCTGCGTCCAGTGTGAGCACGCTCCACGGTGAGCGGAAGCCGCTGGCTCCATGGGAAGCACGGCTTGGACAACAGCCGCCCAGAACCATCTTCACCAGGCCTAAAAGGCCACTGTCTGGGAGCCACTTACACCCTGCTGTGACCCTGGGATTTCGCTCTCTTTAGGGAAGACTCCTGGGCTTGGAAATGGGACCAGGGTTGGAACCTGGCCTGCCTCTTGCGTAGATAAACTTACCCCTTCTGTCTCCAGGTCTTATCTGCAAAAATTCCAGAGCACCAGGCTTGGCACGAGTAAACTGATGAGATGACACAGCAAACCCACCTGGCACAGGACTCGACACGGCACGGAGGAGCTTTGGAACGAGGTCCCCATCCCTTCCTCTCCTCCCTGAACTGCTGCGGACTGGAAATCACTCAGGGAAATCTGCCAACCAAGCTCAAGTCCGTACCGTGGCCCAAACCACTGGGGGGCGGCTTCACGTGCCCTCTCCCTCTCCAGGAAAACAAACTGTAGGCTCTGGGGTCCCCTTTTAAGGTCTCTCCTCTTCCCCAAGTAAAGATCTTTGGAACCTACTGTCTGGATAGAATAGGGGCAGGGAGCCTCCAGTGCGTCGGATGCCCGCATCCCTTCCTCTGCAGGGAGAAACAAACTCCAGGATGCAAGTTTACATCTCAACATTTGGGCGTGACTCCAGCCACCCCTGCTCGCTGACTCCAAGAGCATGCCCCTGCCCGGGCACCACACTCAGGCAGCACTCAACGCGTGTGACCATGGAACCTCTGGAAATAGCTTGATAAAAACAAAGCCAAACTAATGAACACATAGGAGACCCCAGCCAGCCCCAAGAAAAAAACCACCTGTTCTTCATTTATATTGTGTCTGCGGAGAAAGGGGTAGTGAGGAGGGGAAGTTAAGACAACGCACGTTTGTTTTCCCATGCTGATTCTTCCATCAGAATAGGAAACGCAAATAACATGGAGGTAACGCACACCTCCGGAGGGTTCTGCAGCCCTGTCTAGTTACGCAGCACCGCACAGGAAGTGAACCGGTAAACCCGTCATGATGGTGCACCGCCAGGCCTCCTTGGGATGGCTCCAACCCAGCAGCTAGGAGTGCTCTCCCTCCCAAGAGGCAAGAGGATACGGGGGCCCTGGTCACCTCATAAAAGCCAGCATGGTTCATTACACAGCCTCCCACCATTCAGAACCTTCTTGGGGTATTACATTTCACTTAACAAGGGCATTTCTGACCTCACCCCCAACTCTACCAGTCTAGACACCCAATGAAGCCATCTGAAATGTCTCCAAGGCCTAACGAATCAACTACTATGTTTAAGGTCCTTGGCAATCATGCCCTCTCTCCCTGTATGCTACCTGATTGGTTTTTACCCCCATCTCAGCAAGGAATTTGTCCACATGGCCTATATCTCCCTCCACGTTTCCACATCCGGGGGGCCCGTGTTTCATGAGTGCAGCACTTTTGTGCCAAGCTATTTCATGTTTGAGTCTTAAGTGAGCACACATAATCCAGACATGTTGCTTAGACACAATATATCTTTCAAGAGTCAATTCTACTACAGCCCATGGAAGAAAAAACCCCAAGGGGGTTTTGGTAACGATTTTGTAGGTCAGCCCTAGAAGAGAAACTTGTAGGGTTGATGTGCAAAGTAAGCAGGTGACATGATCAAAACACCTATAACAACCTCCAGAAAAGCAACCCCATTAATCACAAAATCTATGTGAATAGAAAGTATCTCGAACTTCTTTTACATGAAAAACAAGAAAGCAAGGTAAGAGTTTTGCCAATAAGGGCAGGGGAAATAATGACATTTCGAGGTATCCAGAGAGATAAACTTTGTTGTAAAGGCAGGAGGTTGTTGCTGTGCCTCATGTCTGTTACATTAACTATCTTCAAGGCTTACACACTCAGATGACAACTCACCATTGTGTTTTTTCGCTGACATGTTTTCTATTTGTTCTGTATTTCTGCTACTGAATCTTACAGCAGAGTCATGTGACTCATTCCAAAGTTTTGTGACCAAAAAACCTCACAAGCCATGATAACTGAAGTCATAATTTACCTACAAGTCCTTCCACGATTCTGGTCTCTATGTTCAGCCGTGAGAATGAGTAACTCTCACCACTGTTTGGTGATATCTCATCCAAACTCTAAGTCAGAAAAGATAAGCACTTCATAAAAACACCTCTAAATTCTAAAACCTTAAGTTGTGTACAAGATGGAACTTGCAAGCTTGATAGCGTTTCTGTGGTCACAAGGAAAAATGAACAGGCAAACGGCTCCACAGTTAGCAAAATTCAAGTCTGTATGATTGACTGACTTTTGGTATTCCAACCCTGAGTTTACAAGAAATGTTAAAAAAAAAAATGGGGCCTCCCTGGTGGCACAAGGGGTTAAGATGCAACATATGAAGATGTCTGCAGCCACCATAGCATGAGTTCGAGACCTGCTGCTCCCCTCAGCAGTGTACTTTGGTCAGTCTGCCAGTTCTGTTCCCCACCCTGTCTCTGGTGAATCCTCTCACCCCCCACACCTCTGGCCTGTACCCAACTCTTGTATGCAAAAATAAATCTTTAAAAAAAAAAAAAGAAATGTTAAAAAAACAAAACCAAAAACAATTGCTTAAGGACTTAATTGTGACTGCACTGCATTAAAAAGAAGTCACTCAGCTTTCCCACCCTCTATACGTAATGTTCAGGTTTTAATGTGATACCGCTTAGGTCATGTAAGCCTCAAGGTCAATTTGTGTTAGTCTCAGTAGACAGTTCTCTTTCTCTATATTCATTTTACATTTAAATTCCTGTTTCCCAAGGAGGTCAGTTTAGGAAGTGGGGGTGGGGAGGAGGAAGCAGGAGGAGCAGGGGCCAGCTCAGCAAGGGCTGTCTGCCTTTCTTCTCATACCACAAATCCAGCCCCAGCTTTGTTCTTCCTTTGGATGGGCAGCCTTCTGCGCCCCGAAATGCAATGAATACACCCAGATACACAGGTCTGCTCTTTTTATTTTCCTGGCTAAAAGTGCTGAATGGAAAATTATAATTCATCCTGTTCTATAGCTATACAAGTAATGAATTCGAAGGTCAGTAACAGTCTGTGAGGACTTGGCCATGCTCAAACATCTATTTAGAGATAGGCATAATACTGGTTTTAAGCAACGTAGGTTCATCCTCCTTCCCCCCTCAAACAAACCCCTTCTATGACTAATAATGCAGTACAGAAGTCAGAGCTTCTACCTTTTATAAGCGGTAATAATAATGTGTCCACCCATCCATTTTATCCCTGAGGAGAGTGAAGGTTATGTAAACTATATAAACTGGATGATATCACAAGAGTGATCTAAAAATAGAACAGCTATAAAAATGTAATGTTATATTATTATAACAAATTCCACGGAATGACCAAATATGCTTGGAGATTTGTTTTTCATGGTACTAAAATAAAACTAAGACTCCCAAACGCTATGGCCACATTCAAAGCCAACTGCTCCAGGCAGCTCTCCTGCCTGCCTGTGACTAAGTAAGCGCCTCTCTCTCTTTTTCTTTCTCCTTTTCCTAACACATGTGTCCTTTCAAAATGCAAAGGGGGGGAAAAAAAAAAAGCAAACCTCTCTAAAATGTCTTCTATAAAGCTTCATCCTTACACATGTCCCGAATCTCAGAACTCCCAGCTCTCCTGACTCTCCCTTTCTGGTGTTGCGAATACAGCTCCTCCTTTCTCCAGAGAAGATCTACAACTGGCCAGCAGGTCAGCTGTTCAGCTCATTAGTCAATAGGAATCAAAACTACGGGGAGACAGGACTTTATAGCTCGCCAGGATGGCTAAATTACACAGGCAACCATAAAAAGTAACAGTGAGGATAGGGAGAGGCCAGAGCCTCACGCCCTGCTAGTGGGAGTGTAAAGTAGTGCCGCACTTTGAAAAACAGCTTTTAAGTTTCTTCAAAAATTAAAAGCAGGGGGCCTCCCTGGTGGTGCAAGGTTTTAAGCACAGCACTGTGAAGCAATCCACAGCCTCTGCAGCATGAGTTCGATCTCTGGCCAGGGAGCAACCTACATGGCACGGCAGACCTCTCCTGTCTCGCCTGCTGCTCCCCTCAGCAGTGTATTTCAGCCAGTCGGCCTGTTCTGCTCCTCACTCTGTCTCTGGTGAATCCTCTCACCCTCAAACCTCTGGCCTGTACCCAGCTCTTGTATACATAAATAAATCAATCTTCAAAAAAAAAAATTAAAGGCAGAATTCACACATGGTCCAGTGTGAGAGGTATATGCCCACGCCAGCTTCTTCCACGGTGAGCCGTGTGTTCAATACCTTTTGGAAATCCTTAGCTGATGAATTTAAATGGTGATTTTTATAGTGTTGCGTGAAAGAACACTTGTTTCTAACTTAACCACCAGTATTTACTTTTGTATCAACAAATGAGCAGACTTAAATAACATGGACATTTACCCAACAAAAACTGAGAGGAGACCAAAGGGAACAAACTATTTGGTGGCAGATAAACTTGAGTGACATTTTCTCAGGCCCAGTGGGTACACCGCGTGCTCTGACATTTCACTTGTATAAGCATTTCACAATCCCTCACTTCACCAGGGGGCCCAGGACAGAGAGCTGCTGGGGTCCTGAGAGATAGCTGTCACCCCACAGCTCACTGCATGGACAAGACTGCTCCAGGGCAGTGAGCAACACAGCTAAGTCCACACTGTGGGTCCTGCTGGACTCGGGTCTCCTGACACCAGGGCCACCCCACCACATTACACTCGACTGCCCAAGTCACCAGAGTCCCCAGTGACATTTACTTTCTGTAGTCCTACCTGGTCAAACAAATTATTAGCACAGGTTAAAACTGGTCTAAAGCAAATTTTTTCAAGACACCATTTCTGTCCATAACGAAAAACCCAAAAACTACTGATAATGTCAAAAGCAA